CACTTAATGTGACAATTAAACTATGAAATATGAAACACTCACCTTAACTGCTCCCTAATGATAAAATCAAAATATGTTATTTAAATAAAAAGAATTTGCCAAAGGTACATTTATTTGATCTGGAAGCACATTATTGTTTTATGTAGTACATTCTGCTGAGTAAGGCTTGACTTCATTGGAACATGAAGTCTGTCACTGGGAAATCTAAATTAGATTGTGACTGATCTAGTCAACTAAAAAATGACAATGATTGTTAAATACAACTCCCTACTTGGCAAAACTGCCTAAAATATCCAAATCACTCTGGTTTACTTCTGAGAAATTGATATGTTCTAAACTGTTTAAAGGCTTTCTCCAGGATTTAACTATTGCGCAAGACAAAAAATATTAAAATATACATTACAAAGAAGCACCATGGGTACAACATAGATTCAGAAGACTAAGAAAGCTCAACTGCTGCAAGAAGTCACAAGCAAAAGACTCTGGCACTAGTGTTAACCTACTCACATCAGGCTGGACGCCCAAGGCAGATTCACAAAAACATATGTTGTGAATTTTCCAGAACAAAGAAAAAAACTTTTAAAGAAAATTGTTTCCCATCTTCTAAGATGGGTATGCAGCTATCTCTATACTTCATGCATAATATACAGTATATATATAGAGTGCATACATGTAACATTCTGTGTAGGCGGAAAAGTCACACAACTTTGGAACAACAGTTTTTAAACTTTTATAATCTATACTTCCATCTTGCAAAGTATTTTAGTTGAAACCCGAACAAAACTCTTTTCATATAGTGCAAGTAAGAAATATTCCAAAGCGTTTAACCAGAAGTATTTCCAAAATATAATAGAGAAAGGAGCTGTGAAACTATTTGTGCTGCATGATATAACTAAAACACAAACTGCGATTCAGAAATTCTGAGCACACTGAGGTCTGCAGATTAGAGTTGCTTTGGAATAGTTCGCCTTATACATATAAAATGTAGTCTTTCAGATGCTATGAAAAGTGCCTGGTTATCAATGATACCGTTCTCTAAAATTTACATGTGCCATACACCATAAATTGCACTGAGACAATGCAACCTATTTATATAACTTCTATGGCCTCTCTTTAGAGGAAGACCACATAGAAATCCCTGGATGATTAGAAAGATAATATAGAACTAGAATGATTATTGGACTGATCATCAGTCTGGGTAAGCTAATCTGCTGCTCACATTCTTCCAATTATTTACTCTAATATGTGGACAATGGAGGGTAAATCACAAAGTTGGAGAAGACCAATCAAACACTTTTCAACCGGTTGATGACATTGTACAATAGTATAACTGTGTCCTTTCTAGAAAGTTGGTCTCCTCCTACAATGCCACGCAAAAAAAAAAATTGATGCATAATGGCATGACAGTTATTTGCATTACTTGCCATCAGAATATCATTACTGTGACACTATAATAAAAGTATATTCCACAACCAAGGAGCAATCAAAAAAACCACCAACAATGAAAGTGAATCTACAAAAGCAGATGGTGTGACCCAAGCCTTTTAACAAAATCCATTCTAATCTATCCCATCTAAGTATGATCAGATATATTTCTCTAATTTTTTCAAAGCTTAATGTGCCCCTGCATAGAAAATTTACTCTGTTGGTGAACACAAAAATGTTCCAAATGCACAATAAACATACCAAGTCCCCATACATGCTACTACAGGTTGACCAGTGCCACTCTGATTTAATAAATGGACTCTCAGACATTATATTTACTTGCTTAAAATCTAGGAAACAAAAAAAACCCCACCTAAATTAGCATTAAAAGTAGTCTCAATGCCAAGGAACAGCGTTAAATTCACCCTCTTGCCACATAGGCTAAGTTCTGTCAGCATTGCAGTGCTATAGTGTTAAACCCTTGCCTTGGTAAATGTACTAGCAAAGCCTGCGGCTGTTCTAGTAGAGTAGTATGGCACTTTATTGCCACATAGAGTGCAATAAGCTATAAAGTGTGCATCTGGTGTGATCCACTGCATCTCAGATTTGGTCCCAAGGAAAATACACCAACTATGAGATCACCTAGTTTATGCTTCCTGATGGAAATCAGGGACATTAGACAGCTAACTATTTCCAGCAACGTACAGAAGCAGAATTTCTGGTGTCCCAAAAATTCAGTGGCAAAATGTAGGTATTATGGAGGTAGGGAGGGATTTGGGAGAATCACTCTTTTGGACATGGGCTTTTACATTTTCTCTGCATCCTTTTTTCTGTAACTAAAACTTCTTTTTTCATCTGGGCTGCGCCACAATTTTGCCAGTTTACTCTTGAACAAAGATCTCAGTAGCTTATGAGGAGCCAGCACAGATGACATAGGCTGCAAAGAGTATTATTACGTGTTTTCCAGTATACTGCTGTTGCTAGCTACTACACTGGGAACTGCCTGAGCGGCTGGAATGTTATCCTGTAAAAAGTTGGGACCGGTGCCCACAGAGGGTCTTTGCATACTGTCATAATCAGCATTTCCCATTACAAACAGCACTGAAACACCTCACTGTGGAGTGAGTTGTAATATTTCAACAGCAAAGCCACACAAGAAGTCTTGAGCCACAAGCCTGTCTCTCAAGCTGTAATATTTCAGGTGAACAGTGACAGGCAAAGACAGAAGTGCATTGATACAAAATGGAGATAACTTCTCTAAGTGTGTAGTCTTAAAGCATGTTCCTTACCTAACAGCTGATCTCCACTAGTCCTCATCTTTTCTTTAGAAAGGTTTTAAAAAAATGCAGAGAAGACGCCTTGAAAATCATGTCAAAGCTATGAACAATTTGATTATTGCTATTTGATTTTTAAATACAAACACAGATCCTATATAGCACATTAAGACAGACAGACTTTCTGTCTTCTTCTTCTGCTCAGGAAATGAATATTTATAGCGGTCTAATCAGAAACTATATTACTCTCTTCAGAACTAGATTCACCAATAAAATTTGCTAGTGTTCTCAGAACATTACAGCACCCAGGATTTCTTCTCCTCTTCCACCTACCAAAAAGCTCAGTACTAGGACAGGTGCAGCACCATAGTATTAACTTTCCCTCTGCATCACAGAATACCAACAGTAGCCAAAATAATTATTCAGTTTTACATTGTCTTCTCCCTAGGCCATACTCAGATACAGCATGAATTTAAACTTATCTGCAAAGGATGAACTTCACTTTCTCAAACATGTGTGGGAGATTCCCTTCCTGAAGTGTGGTAGCTGGCTTATTATCAAATGCAAAGTGAAACATCTGGGTGCCAGATATGGTCACTTGCTTGTTTTGCACTGCTAAGCTGTCTACAGACTATGCTGCCAAGCTATTTACTTTAATTTGAGAGGGTAATCCTCTAGATGCAGCAATCTCACACTACTTTAAAGAAGGGTGTAATTTTTCTTGTGATTACTCTTGTTTTGTCTTCTCTACAATTTTGCATGCATCTGTATGCATAGGGCAGTTCATTTGAGTACAGTTTTTCTACATCTGTATTTCTGTATTCTGGTACTTAAGGCAGAGTAACCAGTTCACTATACACAGACAGTAAATTCATTTGTACGTGGCTTTTCAACAAACACGGTCAGAAAAAATTGAAATAAAATTAGACACCTTTTTTTTTTTTCCTTCATTTTGACTTTGATTTTCTTCAAGTTTCTCCACTTTTTGTTGCAAGCTGCCAAAGATCATTAACTTTTCTCTTCCCTGTCTTCCACATACTGAACTATGCAATGGAAATTGGCTTGGAAAAAGGGATGAGTGCTTAATTTTCATGTTTCTTAGAGTAATTTTCATGTTTCTTTCTCACGTAAATTCACTTTGTTTAAAAAAAAGAACTTTGACATTCATCACCCCATGATCCTACGCTTTTTGGTTAGGTGTTGTCATGAGCTATTTAGCTTATTATGATATTTTTTTCATCCAGTATGTCTATAGCGGTCTTCAAAGAATTTGTCTGCTGATAGACAGGACTGCACACAGATTTAAATTAAACAAAATACTAGGGGATAAACACACACTAAAAGAGAAACAAGCATAATTCTACTGTTGTCTTCATTGCACTATGCATTTCTAAAGATCCTCTCTACAGAACAGATGCTCTCCCAGAGTTTCGTGAACTGTTGTGTTTTTTTTTCCCCAGATAGTCTCTGCACACAGACCTTGATTAGAATCTCTCATCCTGTTTGTTAATATATTTTAAAAAAAGTTCCACTAACAGCATTCCCAAATCCTGTTTGTATCTCCTAGCTGTTTCCATAAGCAAGAGGCAGCATATCTTATTGCCGCCTTGAGCAACACATGTGGTGACAGGCCAGTCATTTGCTACCTCAGAATAGAGAGGGTGATGAGTTATAAACTTTCCTTCAGTGACAGCACTTGTTTTGGTGTCTCTCTTCTACCAATACTCAAATTTTCATTAAACGTGTAGGACTACATTAGCTATGTCTACAACTGCAAGTAGTGAAGTCTTTCGAAATGGATTTGTAGACAGCAACAGTTGGTACTGGGGATCCAGTGCTCACACTATACACATTTCAGGGAGTTTTAACTACCTCTCATCTGATCCTGCAGAATTTAAAGCCTGCTATAGGTGGAGACTGCTGGTGTGCTCCTAAAGCGCATCTTCTCACTTAATTTGATTCTGAAGGATGTTTGTGCACTCTGAGACTGCTCTACATTGCTCTGCAATGCAAACACTGCAAAGGGGACAACTGGTAGATTTGACTAAAAAGTGCACTGCTAATCCAAGCTAAAATGCTAGTGTATACATACCCAAACATTTGGCATTATTTTCTCTTAAATTTGGTATAAATTGTCCAGAGGGTTTCAAAAGCTATAGAAGCACAGCAAACGACAGATAGACAGACAGACAGATGTTCTATTTTAGTAGAACATCATGGCATGGAAAACAAAAAGTCATGAAAACATCTTTGAAGATATTTAAGAATACTACCCAGTATTTATAATACAGCTGCTATCCTACCCTATTCTGTCATAATTCCTGCCAGCAAATTATTCAGACCTTTAGTAACAGCAGTTTTTTTCCATCACATCACATTCTGATACCTTTCACACAATACTGGCAGGCACAAAGTTATTCCTTCTTTTTGTTGTTTCCCTCCATCCCAAGAGACATCTGTAAGCCCTTGTGCTTTTAAAGTGCTAGATGCTCAAAGGCTCTTCTGAAATTAATAATAATCAATGCCAGCAGCATCTCAACACCCTACCCAGTATTTGCATGTGATGGAGGGAAAACAATAGCAGAAAGGAGACATTAACTTGAATTCTTCCAGCAGTTGTGTTTTAAATGGTGAATATTTTCCTTTTTTTAATGTGAAAAAGAAATAAACAATATTCTTAAACAATATCTTTTTAAATCCAGAACATAAGCAGAATCTGAATTACCCCAGTGTTCTGAAAATCTGTGTTTCTCTACAGTTGTATTGGCAAACAAATAATTTCTAGCAATAATGGAATTTATACACTGAGTAGCCCTACACTTTGAAAAATGCCATCCAGTAATCATCTTTCTGATTGCTATGTGGTAGCTGCATCAGTTTGGGATGTGCTCCCAAACTGATGTGCTTTTATACTGCTAATGAAAAATTTAAACATTCAAGAAATACTGACTGCATGTTTGAAGCCCAAAAGATTTATATATAAGCCCTCCATTTAATTTTTGTCAGTGGAGGACTTAAGAAAAAAGAGGGAACTGTAGGGGAGGGATAAGAAACAGTTTTGAGAAAACACTGTACTGAAAATGATATGCAAATTGAAACAGTACAGAAGGAGTTGTACCTACATTCAATTCTGATTATTTAGGTGAAACTTTTATATACACTGGAAAATAATGGAAGAATGATTCTCCTGATAACTTAAGGAGGACTGCATTCAAAGCACATTCTGTAATATACGAAATTCTCTGAAGGGGGCTATGAGAAAATGTCCATGCCGATATGATACATTAAGTGTAAGAAACACTTACCTTGTTGAATATCCTTCATCTCCAGGTGCAAACTGGATATTAAAATTCCTACAGTTTGAGACCGTTTTCCATCCAACAATTTGATAATCTAGAAAGATGATGCAAAATGATCTGAGATAAAATGAACACTCTACGAATGATTCACTCACATTAATGACAGAAGTTAATTTGTGAATTCAACTCAATGTCCCCCCAAACATCAAACCTTTTTATTATTTAAATGTGGTAGTGAGACCTTCATCTTTATGCTCTGCAACTTAACAAACAGCTGATAAATGTAAGCTTGAATTCTCACCAGGTCTAGTAAAGAACATCACCTCTTACTTGTAGGATGCTATTAAGAAGAAAAAAAAAGGCACATAAAATATTTATTCTGGAATATACTTTTTCCCCCTTCTTAAGGTGATAAGGTCAGAACTATTTAAGACACACTGAGTATATCACAAGCTCCTTAGTTTGTCTGCTAGTTTATATTTCACTGTGAACATTTAAGTCTTTTTGACAAAGGATCAATTCCTGACCAAGGAGAATTGGAAAATTGTCTTCTTATGCCCTATCAACACT